CCCCCCCCCGCCCCGTACCACAATCCATGACTCAGCAGTATCTCAAAGAAAGTCCCGTCAAGCCAAAACATTCTCACACTGGACCAAGGAACAAAAAAAGTCAACTTTGACTCTGTGTGTCATCAGTTGCCTCCAAATTTGATTATATTTGTAGAAATGACAAATTGCGTCGAAAAGCAAAAATTTTCTTTTGAATGGAAAAAAATTCTTCTGAGGAATTTGAACCCACGATTTGTCGTTTTTAAGCACAAGGGGTCTATCCCGAAAAATGTTGTTTTGAGAAAATTGAAGGTTAAGTTTTTGACCCTAGTTCAGTTTCATTAAAAGACAAGGAGAGTTTTCTCTATAACCAAACAAATATACACACCAATGAAACCAAACTTCTCCTATAGATAGGGCAATACCCACTTTTGGCGTAGGTCCAGATTTCTAGAAACCCCCAAAATCTAGGCCGCTTGTCCTTAAAAGTGACGAATTAGTTCAATGAATGAAGGGTGCCTGACAGAATCAGTCAGGTGGAGATAAAACAGAAGGAACAGTAGCCGGTCATTTGGTACTCTCGCTTCACGAGGTATGTCCAGCGCCGTGCGTCATTGCAGCATCTGGTGCCTCCTTCCTCACACAGGCAGAACAGATGAACGCCGCTCGCTACACGGGTCACAGAGGTCACAAAGGTCACAGGGTCATAAAGGTCACAAGGGTTCACCGAGACCCTCATGGCCACAAAAAGCACGCCTCAGCGCACCCACCGTGGTGCAAATTTTAAAAAACATAACAGGAAGTGCGCAAACTTGAACTTCAAAAACTCGACAATTCAGGACAGGATCGACAGAATGAAGTTTACAAGACAGAGAGACAAGACAGAAGTAGACAGCAAGACAAGACAGAAAAATAAGACAGAAGTAGACAGCAAGACAAGACAGAAGTTGACAGAAAGACAAGACAGAAGTTGACAGAAAGACAAGACAGAAGTTGACAGAAAGACAAGACAGAAAGACAAGACAGAAAGACAAGACAGAAAGACAAGACAGAAGTAGACACAAGTTCCCATCTGACAGACAGAGACGGGAGAAAATAGACCAAACATACATTCTGATCCAGTAAAACAAAACGGCGTTTCCCCTAGCTCTGACAATGCTTTCACGGTGAGCTAAATGCTGTCAAACTTCTCCAAGAAGCTAAATCAACAATCTCTGCGCATATAAAGTGGAAGAAAACATCCGCTCAATCTTGAGGGGGGGGGGGGAATGAAAGGTCAAAGGTGGGGGGTCATGGAGGTGAGAGAGAGCCCAAGAAAGGAACAGGCAGTAAGGCAAATCTTAGATCTTGTAGCTCTGAACTCGTTTGGGGGGTCCCGAAGACGACGACGACGGTTTCCGTGGCAACGTTCCCCCTCCCTGGTCGCCAGGTTTTGGCGGCAACGCTGGCCGGGAGGCTCCACCACTGGACGCCGTCCGAGCGAGGGGCCGGGTCGCAACCTCTGGCTTGCTGCTCCCACCTGTGACCTTGGCGGAGGCGGGGCTGGAGCTCTTGTCAAGGTCAGACACGCGCCGACTCACCACTTTGCTGCCAGTGTCCTCTGAGGGCGTGGCAAATTTGGCTGCCAGCGAGGACACGTTGGAGCGGGGTGCCGCTGTCTCGCCAGGTTTTGAACCCACGCCCTCCACCTTCTCTGCTCGCGGCCCGCTGGACGTTCTAGACGAGGGGCCGCCGGCAGGGGTCGGCTTTGATGTAGCCTTGAACTTGTCAGCACCCGTCGCGGAAACTTTCCCGGAGGAAGATGGCGCCGCTGGCTTTGTGGGCGCGCGCTTTGTCGCTGTGGGTTTGGCTGCTGTAGAGGAAGAGGAGGTTGTTGTGTCGGAGAGGTTCCTCTGACCTTGACCTTTGCCCTGAGCCCTGCCGGCAGACGTGGACTTAGGGGGCGCCGGCTTCACTGGTTTGTGGACGTCTGCTGCCGTCACAGACTTAGCGGTACCCGGCCCAGATTTCTGCTGACCGGCAGTCGAGGTCCCACTAGGTGTGGGTTTCTGACCCGCCGCGCCCGACCCACTCGACCCTTGACCCGCAGATTTCCCCGCGCGCGCCAGGACTCTATTCCTCAGCTCATCCGACACCGACAGTTTCACGTCCGGCTTGCCGAGGCTGCTCCTACTCTCCGCTGCCGCCGCGTCACTGGAGCTATTTTTAGCTGACTCAGACGGCTTGGTCGAGGGGGCGGTATTTGCCGAGTTCCTCCCCACCTGTTGCCATGACGACGACCCGGTCGCTGGTTTCTGTGAGGGAAAGTTTCTGCTGTGGGTTTGTGGCTTGTCCGTGTCGCATTTGTGAGCGGACGAGGGCGTGGGGCGGGTGGTGGAGAGGATAGAGGGCTTGCTGTTGACCGTTGTTGACGCGGGGGCACGGGCGGTGGAGTCGGACCGCGGCGGTTGTTGTACTTTCGCCGGGGCACTTCTCGGGGGCAGGCTGGGGGGACCGGTCTCCTGTATGGGCAAGTTGGTGTAGATGTTAGCGTCGGTGAGCTCTTGGTTGATGAGATCCAGGAGGTCTCCCATCCCGTCCGTCTGGTTACTGTACAGAGGCTGTGTGTCGTCATTGTTGTCATCGTCGTCATAATCATCGTCATCACACGGGATCTGCGGTACAGGTCGCAAGGCGAAGCCAGAGGACAATGACCTCCCACCATCGGCCGCCAGTCTCGTGGGAGATCTCGCCGACTCGGACTTCTTCAAGGTCGTTGTGCCGGGCACCGGAGTCTGTCCCGTGAGGCGTAGCGGGTCGGGTCGGCTGATGGGTCGCTCCGACTGACTGCGCTTGACCGCCACGGCCAGGGGCTTGTTGGGAGTGGGGCTACGCCGAGCCTCGGGGCCGATGATATCCACATTCCCGTCCGCCAGCACAAGAGAGTTCCGACTTGTCGTACAGATCAACACTGGATCCGAGATCTCCGAACCGCGGAAAGATTCACGCTTCACGATGCCGCCAGATTTCGGCGACTGGGGAATGTTTTTGCCAGACTCAGGTTTCGATACGGTGGAAGAGTTTGCCTGATTGGCCGACCTGTGCGCAGCAGGCATGGGTGAGGGCCCCTCTGTCTCCTGTATGGGAAACGACAAGCGAACCTTCTTGGCGGCCATCTTTCCCTCGCTGGAGTTTGTCTTAGCCAGGGACGACGGCCTCATGGGGGCGGTGGGTCGTTCAGGGGGGACAACTGGGGGTGCTCTGCCTTGTCCAGGGGGGACAACTGGGGGCGTTCTTCCTGCGCCGGTGCCAGGGTTCCACACCCGCGGCTTTCGCTCCATGGTGCCGCTGTTGTGCTGGAGCATGGGGTTAGAGATTAGGTTGGTCCGCGGTGGGTCGAAGTCTGCGCGGCTCTGGCCCACCGAGGGGTTGGGCTGGGGGGGCTGGGGCGGGGGCTTCTTGCTGGGGGACCGCACTCTGGGGAATACAGGGTCAAGGTCATCAGGAGAGTTACAGACGGCACTTTTGGGAGGTGACAGTACACAGTTTTTGTTTTAGTATGGTGAGAATTTCACAGCACTTTCAATACAAACAGGTTAGTAAGAGTTTTACGGCACTTGCAACACAAAAAGGCCCTGTAAGTGCGGAAGATTAGAGGTGTTGCAAGAGAGGAACAGACACAACAAAGGAGTAGGGGAGATAGACACGATAGAATTTTTTATTAGGAAAGAAAGAAAGAGGAAATCACACAAGAGCACCTGCCAACCACCCACATCAGGAGAGTTACCTCTTTGGAGGTGATATTGGGCCAACAGAGTTTCAGTTTTAGTGAGAGTTTTACAGCACTTTTTGGAGGTGGTAGTACAGAGTTTCAGTTTTAGTGAGAGTTTTACAGCACTTGCAACACAAAAAAGTCATATTATAAGTGCTGATAGTTTGTACACAGAGACAACACATGTACCTGTACACAGAGACAACACGTGTACCTGTACACACACACAACATGTGTACCTGTACACACACACACAACACGTGTACCTGTAGACACACACAACACGTGAACCTGTACACACACACACAACACGTGTACCTGTACACACACACACAATGACACACATACACAATGACACACACAATGACACACACAGACAATGACACACACACACACACAATGACACATACAGACAATGACACACACACACACAATGACAGATACACAATGACACACACACACAAATGACAAACACACATGATACACAGACACACAATGACACACCCACCGGTACTTGAAGGAAGGCAGAATCTTCCACCAGTGCCACAACCGCCGTCTGTTGAGGAGGGCGACGGCACACGCAACGACACACACAGTGACACAATGACACACACACACACAATGACACACACAGACACACAATGACACACCCACACAACGACACACACAGACACACCCACCTGTACTTGAAGGAAGGCAGGATCTTCCACCAGTGCCACAACCGACGTCTGTTGAGGAAGGCGATGACCAGAAGGATGAGCAGCGGAATCACCAAGAGGAACACCACCAGTAGCGCGATCAGCAGGTTCTTCTTGGCTGAAACACCACAGCAACCACAGCAACATCATTATCATTATTGTTACCACAGCTGTACTGGAACATTGATCAACAACCACAGCAACATCATTATCATTATTGTTACCACAGCTGTACTGGAACATTGATCAACAACCACAACAACATCATTATCATTATTGTTACCACAGCTATATTGGAACATTGATCAACACCACAACAACCACATCAAAATCAGCTTTATTGTAACCATCGGGACACTGATCAATGTCACAACTACAACAACCACAACAACAACAACATCTTTTTTATTGCTAGCACAGGCATATTGGAACATTGATCAACACCGCAATGACAACTACAACATTCTTATTGCTATCACTCGTATACCGGGACAGTGACCAACATCACAACTACAACAACAACTACAACATTCTT